ATTAGAAAGCTTTTATGAAATTTTTCAGTTTGAGAGCAAACCGAAGTTGGCGCTTTCTACTGACGGGTATGTTGGTTTGCCATTTCCTCCTGCATGTGCCTTGTCATTCCTCTCTTCGGGCATCGCACATGCATGTTGTAGGTCTCTTCTTATATCCCTTTCGTCAGTTCCTTATCTTAGCTTCCCTTTTCACTTCTTCGGAGCAAAATATTTCACATGTTCCTAAAACTGTCTTTCCTGTCTGTTTACCCTAAAGTTTATGTGACCTGTACCACTGAAAGTCTTGATATGATTGTCAAGTTAGTAATGAGTCGTCCTTTAAAAATATACTCTTTAAAATTAAATTGAATGTTATCTAGTAGTTGGGAGAAATAATCCAGGATCATGTATATAGCTCTAAAATACTGCTGTGTGCCACAATCAATTCCTTACTTAACAGCAGAATATTATTAATTTAGAAATTTGCTTGTGTTTTAGTTGAGTGACATTGGGAGAAAGGTGCTATCTTTATCTAATTATAGAAAATATGATCTTCTTTCATAAGCGTAATACTTAAAAACTCTCTCCTGCTCTGCAGCAACTTGTTGAGTGACAATATTGTGCTATGTCACTAGTTTGGTAACACTTTTAAAAGCAGATTTTTTTAACTTGTCCATGTAAGTAGCTGTCTCTGCTTCTCTACAACTGCTGATAGCTGGGTTGAGTAGTGGCCAGTTTCCGTAATGATCACATTCATACAGATTCTCAGTATATTTCTTTCTGACGTGTGTTTTTTTTCTAGCATTGTTTATTTCTGTTTTTGGGGGGTTGGGGAAGGGTAGGATCATGTGTATTGGTTTGCATGTAGATATCAGAAGAAGATTCTTCTAAGTGTTATAAGCCATTTATGTAAGTCATAAATTTGGGGTTTGCTTGATACTTGCAGAGGGCAAATTCTGCAGAAGTGTTATGAATTCTTGAGCACTGCACACCGTGAAATTTCGCTATAGTCACTGCAGCAGTCGGGAGCTGTTCAGGTGCCTGAAATTCTTCAGGGATATCCTGTAACTCCTAGCACATCATTGAGGACAGAAGCATCCTTGCAATCTTCTTTTTTCTTTTTTTTTTCTTTTTCTCTTTTTTTTTTCTCCCCCAAAACTTTCTTCTCTTTTTCAGATCTTAAAATTCTGGTTCCACCGACGCAAGGGTGTCTGCTAAAGTTACCAGTGAAGAGACAGAGTTTTGTCCACCAGCGTGAGTAGTCGCATTCCTCTCCAGGATCATTTCACTTGCATTTTTATTTTTATTTTTTTCTGTTTGTCTTGCCTCCTTCAAATATTTTGTTAGCTCATCCCTTTTGGTCCGAATTGCTCCCCTCTTGAGTTCTGCGAGGGATTATGTCTGAGAGGGGGAAAATGGAAGAGATGAAATTTTAGATTTAGAGGAATGTATCAAGTAAGCTTCTCTCAATCCATGCAAGATGAAGTCTTGGTATAACAAGGAATAATTGAGAATAATCATGTTTAACAGAGAGTTTTGTGGGTGCTAAACTTATATTGACAGCATAGTCTTGGTGGAAAGGGATTGGGTATGGTGGGCAAGTGTGACAGTGATTGTAAATGGACTGTTTAGTATTGAATCTTTTTCTGATAGCCTGACATGCACGCTGCCTTGGGTGGGTATTAAGTCCCCTTAACATCTCCGTTCTCTCTTCCCAAGTATACAATGTTTCTAGCTGTACAAATTTCTTGTTATTTGACTTAAAAACACAGAAAATTATGTGGTTTTCCTGAACCATTGCAGGTTGCACAGTCTTGAGAATGATAAGAATATGTATCTGTTTTGCTCTTAAGCAGACAGGAATAAGCCATTCTTCTTGCTCCTAGGGCTTTCAATCCAACACCGTGCCTTAAACATGGAAACTGTAGAAATGACCAGTGTATCCTTGAAACGTCCTCATTCCGAGGATGGTGTGGCCAACGCAGACGAAACTAAAAGACAGAAGATCTCAGAGAAGGATGAGACAGAAAAAAACTCTGGGAAGAAAAAAGTAACAGAGCAACAGCAAAAATCTCTGCTTCAGAACACAAAAAAACAAATGCCCAGTGAGGAAGGTGAGGAGCAGGAAGATGAAGAGCTAGAGGACAGTGAAGAAGATGGAGATCCAGAGAGCTTTGCAGACATGATGAAGCATGGACTCACAGAAAGTGATGTTGGCATAACTAAATTTGTTAGCTCTCATAAAGGGTTTTCTGGAATCTTAAAAGAGAGGTATTTTCTTTGTTTTGTTGTGTTTGTTGATGCCTTGTCTTAGCAACTGTTGTTTTCCATTTTCCTTTTCTCATAGGATGCAGTTGAATTGCATGTGGTCATTTGGGAGGCTCATTTCTTTCAGCCTTAACATGAGGAACAGAAAGCAAGATTTTATTTGCCATTTTTTTAGCCCTTTTTTTTTTTTTTAACCTTTCCTGTCAAATGGAAGTCTGAAGAAGAAAGCTCTGCACGTTTGGAAATAGATTATTATAGTAACCTTTGCTATTTGCCTTTGCTTTTTGCAGAGATAAAAGCATAAAGTTTTTTTTTTAAAGTGTACCTACCTTTTACACAATACTTCAGTGCTTATAAAGATGGATAACAGTGTTGAAGACCATGGTCTTCATTTCTTCCTTGCTTTTTGTGTTAAAGTGGCTGAGTGCATGTCCTGGCAGATGGTCCTTCTGACTTGAAATAGCACTCTGAGTTACACCATCATTTACAGAACACAAAAGCAAGGAAGTTTATAGGTTAGGGTGTGGAATCCTAATTATATTCTTAGTAAGCTCCTTGGTTGCTAGTAGATTTTTGATTTTGTGAAACTTTTTTTGTGTTTTTTTGTTTGTTTGTTTGCTTTAATAATAGCAGTTTTTCAGCAGAGGGAATGCAAATATAAAACCCTCTGAAGAGAGCATCCATTACTGTCTTAACTTAGTAAAGCAGTTAAGCCTACTTTGCCATAGACACTAAAAAGTCAGTTTTATATACTGGCTTCATATATAAGCCATCTTACATAACAAAATGTACATAAGATAGTCCTTATTTATATATTTAAACTTTATGTACCACATAGAAGAGTAAGTATAATCCTCCCCTGGTGAACATGATCTGTGTTCAGCTAACTGCCCTCTGAGATTTTTTGATTTCAAGCAGAAGTGGTCAGAGATAGAGCCATGTGGTAGAGGTTTTTCCTTGAACCTAGTTTGTAGCACTTCTAACTAATTTGATCCTGATATTTGTATGGTAATTGTCACTAACATGTCTAGACAGCTACAGGGAATAGGGCAGTGGACATGTAACAACACTCCTAAGGAAGTAGTTCTGCCAGTGTAATGTACACATGCACAGAGGTATGGTAAATGTAGGCTTGGATAAAATAGAAACATTCCCATGGTGAAGCTGTATTCTGCTTTCAGTGTTTCATAAGCCAAACCTTTGGGGGTTTTGTTTTTGTTTTTCTCTTTACAAGCAGTTGCTAGGTAAAAATAGAGTTAGGATCTTTTTACTATTGGACGTAGTGACTTGGTTTAAGATATGACAGTCAAATTCTAAGGATATGAATTACTGATCTCTGAAAGTTAGTAAGGAAATGGCTCAGAATAATGACAGCAGTTGTTTGGCTATTTGCATAGAAGTCTACTTTGTTTAAAGCAGTAGACGTTCTGCTATGTTCTCTTGGTGTGTTTTTTGAGGGGCAGAAATATGTAAAGCTCTCTGATAGCTTCTTCAGTTTCTTTCATGCACTCCTGAACGAATTTTGGTAACAAACAGTTTCTTGGAGAGGGACTTCGTGCTTTTTTTTTTCCCATGCAGTCTTAATGCGTGTTTCTTCCTATCAGATACTCGGACTTCGTTGTTCATGAAATAGCAAAAGATGGACACGTGAGCCATTTAGATGACTTTTCTGTGCCTGTGGATAATGAGGTAAATTCTGAGGTAAAGATTTGATGACAACTGTGCTCTTAAAAAAAAAGAAAAGAAAGTTGAGAGCCCTGAAATTGTTCTATGTGAATTACTGTGTTTCTTTTTTTTTTTTTAACAGGACCCATCAGAAGAAACATTTACAGTTTTGTCAGATGAAGATAAGAAGCGTTTAGAGGAGCTCCAGCTTTTTAAGAACAAGGAAACTAGTGTCGCAATAGAGGTAAAATTAACAAAAAGCGTGAATTTTGCAGAGAAGAGGGCATAGGAGTGAGTGAGTGAGTGACTGGAAGGTACATGCTTTCTGGTGCGTATAAGGTGTAAGAGTAGTTTGAACTTGGTATAACAGTTGGTAATACAGAAATGTTTCCAGTTTAGGGTGAAATTCTGTAAAGCCTTACTCAAGCCTTGAACTCAAATCCATACACGAGTAGTCATTTTGATTTCAATGGAGTTATACACCTGAACTTAAGCGTCTCTTAATTTTTGTGTTAAAGTTCTGCATTTTTGTCTATAAGTATTTTATAGGGTCATTATATAAGAAGGATTAAATAAATATCCATCCTGATGGAAAAACTACTTCCAAGGTCAATATGTAGTAATTTAATAAAAAAGAGGAAAAATATGGTATTCTGTAAAAAGAAAAATAAAAAAGGTGCAATTTTTTTAAAAAGGTATTTTTAAACATCCCAATAATCCATATTTGAAGAACTGCTGAGATACGTTTGGAATAAAGAAATGAGTAAGATTTTAAGCTTGACAATTTCATATAAGCATTCCTATATTGAAGAATCTTGGTCTTTTTTTCTTTAATTCGTATCAAAAAAAGGGGGAGGAGGGGTTTCAGAATTAGCCCATAAAGATGAAATTTTGTTAAGCATAAAATAAGTAAATTACTCTTGTGAGTCTTTGTTTGCTAATATTGACACTGGGGCTAGTACCAAAGTTAGTGCTTTATTTTTCAAATTAATATTAACGAGTACCAAACTTATTAATATGAGGCCAGACTGTTTAATATGATTCAATATTTTAGTGTGTTTCAGGTTTTCTTTAAGTATACAAAACTTGAGCTCAGAAAGGATCCTTCTGTGTTTGTATTACTTTTTTTTTTTAATGTATGTATGTTAACACAGGTAATTGAAGACAGCAAGGAAAAAAGAACTGTTATCCACCAGGCTATAAAGTCTTTGTTTCCTGGGTTGGAGACCAAAACAGAAGATCGAGATGGGAAAAAGTACATTATTGCTTATCATGCTGCTGGGAAAAAAGCACTGGCAAGTGAGTTTTAGTACCGCAGTAGTTGGGTAAAGTAAACGCTAAATCTAAACTAAAAATCATCCTTAAAAATTACTCTAACTTAGTCCAACAATGTTTTTTTTTTCCTTCTCGTTGCACCAAGACGGTGCATCTGAATAGCTGGGAACACAAGAGAGATTTCCTACCATAGTTGGCTGAAATTCAATTTTAGATTTGCGCCCATTTTTTCTTTCCAGATCATTAATCAAATATAAATATAGGATTCTTTACTCTTACAATGAGAATAGGTGAAATAGGACTTTATTTTATATACTGTTGCAATTCATCTTTTTTGAACTTACCTGGATCCTTAAATATTTGCATATTTTGGAAGTAAGGGGTTGTAAATGAAGCTTGACCCGCGAAATCTGGACATTCTTGAATATCCATGACAAAACTCTCAGTGACTTGAATAAGGACAGGAGCTGCTGGTTTTCTCAAAAGTATAGGTTTATACAAACACAGTATATTTACTGTGGTCTTTAAGATAGTTTTGGTTTATCAGGTTAGTTTTACTTCCAAAGCTAATCATATTTTCAGAAAATGGAACTTACTTATTTTATATTATAGTTACTCTTCTGAAAATACAAATAAGGAATAATATTGTATTTTGAAAATCTTGTACCTAAATATAACTAGATCTCATTTTGATTACTGAGGATAAATTAATGTGTTCCAGATCTATTATGCTATTAGTGTTTAGTTGCTTCTGTAAGTCCAGAGAATTGTCTAATGCACAGAATTTTGTGCATTTGACTAAAGGTATTAGTGTTTGGTTCGGTTTTGTTTAAACTCATTTCATTTCAACCTGCAGATGTAAGATGTAAATCTATTCTTTTTACTTTGAAGAGGAAGGAGATGGAGAAAGAAAAAGGAAATAAGATAATTGAAAAGTTTAAATAAGAACATCTCCACATTCGATTCAGTTTGCTTCTTTCAGGGATTTTTCCTAAGCAAATATGGGAATGTTGTACAAATTAGGTGCAAATTATGTGTTGTGTATTCTGTTCAACTATGTTTAGGAAACTTGTATGTTTGCATGCTTTATGCATGGAGTAAGTTACCAAGCACAAAATTCTCCTCAGCCAGTTTCATTTTGTGTTGGTTTGTAATATTTTCCCCTCTACTTTTCCCTTTTCTGCTTTTATTTTTTAACCATTGTTACAGTCAAGTTGTTCTAATTAAGCTGTCTGTCTTGGTTAAGAGATACCATATTAAAGAAGCTAAGTATTCGTAGTACATTGAAAATAATTCAGTGGTACATCTTTAGAGCTAGAACATTATCTGGAGCACCTTCTTGTGATGCAGGGGATCATCTATTAAAACTTGGATAAAGTTGTGATGCTACAGACATTTACCTGTTCAAGTTGGTTTTTGTAGTTCAGCCAGTGTGTGTAAATGCTTGTGAATTCAGGGTTTGAGAGAGCAAGATTTATTTATTAAGTCAGGATTATATCTGTCTTTTGTGTTCATACAGCCAGTAACATGTATCAGTCCTGAGTGGGTCCTGAGTAGGCAAGAAACATTTTAGGAGCACATAATATTCAAATATACCTGAGAGATCTGTTTTCTTTTGCATTCAGTGTAAAAGGTTACCAGAGTACTTTTCTAAAAGTTAAAATCAGAAGCTGTTTTTTGTCTGTAGTAAGTCCGTACCCCAAATACTTTAAATTCTGCCTTAATAAATTGTCAGTAAATTGCTGTTTTGTCATCGTCCACAAATGAAGTTTGTTGCATCTCTGATTGAAGCTTTCCATACGTTCACCGTTTGCCTCTGCACGATTCCATTGCATAACTATCCAAATTGCTGTCATCCACCACCTAACTGTTGGATGCTGCCTACAGCATAAACAATCCCATAACCATAAACCTGCATGTTCACCTCTAAAAACCCTTCAACAGTTTAAAAATTAAATGCTGCTCTTTTGTGCTCTTTACGCTCTGCATTGGGACAGAGGTCAGAACTGCAACAGGTAAGAGATGTTGACATTTCATGCTAAAAAAAAAAAATGAAATGCCAACTATTGTGACCTCCTAAATAGTGCTAAGAATGGCCAAAATAATAAAATATAACTCTAAAAAAAAACTTACAAAACATATAAGTAAGATTTTCAATTCTCAGAAATAGACAATATTTTGCTGCCTCTTTGTTAGTGTAGCGACCCTAGTCATTCAGTTCTGTTCAGAGGAAGGCTGCCAGCGAGAAGTTACAGGAAAGACCAGGATTGATGATACTGTTTGAAATCTGTGGTGAATTTCCCTTTGATTTCATTAAGCCAAAGCTTTGACCTTTAGAACCTGTTTTCAGTGCCATCATCTGGATTTAGTCAACTTCAAAACAAGCATCTCACATCCTGATGCTAAAAAAATGCAAGTTTCTAGCCCTCAGATTGCAGCAAAAGGTTTGAAAAAAGATTTGAAAAATATGATTTTACTGTCAAATATGTAGCATGACTCTGAAAAATAGCAATAAGGAAAACAAATTGTCACTCATCCGTCTATTCCGGTGAATAATTTCAGGTGTTAGTTGAGGAACAGTTAAATCTTGAGCCTGTAGCCGCAGCCTTTTCACTCCTGGCGTGGAGGGGCAGCGCTGTGGACGGGCTCCTGGCTGTGGTGGCCAAACCATGCGGAGGCTGCTGGTAAATTGCATAAATTGCACCTAAGATGCGTTAGTCGGGCTTTGACTAGGGCCCTGTTTGTGAAGGCTCCATGAGGCTGAACGAGATGGAATAGTTCACGATTGAGAAATACTCCGGTTGGAGATGACTTCCCTTGCAGATCATTGTCCGTTTTTCTCTCTTCTGCTCTAGTGAATGAATCCTTCATGAAGGTTTCTTGCTCTCCAGACTGAACGCAGTGTTTCATTGAGTGTGTTTAAGGATATGCATCAAAGGAAATCGATTGGAAAGCAGGCCAACAAGATCATGAGGCCCCTTAGCAGCTTTTTGATCACAGTGTCCAGATGAGGTCCTAGAAAACTCCTTAGTATTTTAGGGCGGGGGGAGACTTGTTTTGAAACCAGTAGTGCAAGGCAGGTGCTACAGTAATTAAGTGATTAACATATATAGGATATTCTGTACTGTTCCATGAGAAATGGTTTTGACAGAAGCAGTTGCAGGGATAACAATTTCTCAAAAAAGGCAAGAAGGTGTCTTTTATCAGCAAGCTTAATGAGATTTCAACATATTCACTACCTGCATGGATATGTGGGTTTTATTAGACTTACATGAACAGACTAGCAGCGTTTCCTAAGGACTGTCTTCTGCTGTTGGTGTTGATATATTGCAATAGGGCAGGCTTATTTATTTGGCTTTTACTGTTAAGAAAGGAGCTTAGGCCGTTCTTGTATAAAAACAGGTGTGTCTGCTTTGTGGCCACCAACAGAAAAGGGATTTTTGTATTAAATAGGAAAAGAAACTGGGTCCTGTTCTTATTAAAGGAAGAATTGGTGAATGAGGATCATAGGATCAATCCCCCTTCCCAGTAAATGCAATCAACAGTAAATAATTGTAAAATGAAAGCTTGATGTCATTGCTAAATGTGGTGGTAGTTTTGCTCCCCTTTCCACCAACCCTCAGATAATTATTCAGTGCTGTAAATCTCTTCGTCTGCAAGGGCTAAAGTTCTCTCTCCCTTCAGCATTCTCTTAGCATGGCACAGGATCTGCTTTGAATTATTTGATAAAGTTTTTATTTTGGCAGATTTACCTCTCTCAAAGGACTTTTTTTTTTCTAACATTAATCTTAAATATTTTTTTCCAATATATTTTTTAGATCTTTTTAACGATATAACAAACACTCTTCTATTGCATGCAAGAAAAAATCTGACAGAGCTAAATATCAAATCAGTAATGCAGTGTGGGGAGTATTGTGGTCTTGACGTAAGCAGTGGTGTGGTGGTCCTCATCTGTTACCTTCAGCGGGTATTAGAAGAAATGTAGAGTGGTTTTATTGCTGAAAGTCAGCGCACAGAAAATGCTTCTGAGGAGCTTAATCGGGCAGTAAGACAATTAAATTGCTGGAGAAAAAAATAGATTATTTAATGCAAAGGAAACTCCTCATTTGTTAGAGCTTTCTGAAGTAACAAGATTGATATCCTTTACATAGAAAAGTACACAGCCCACTGGAAGGGCAGGAGGTGCTTTTCAAGTGCTTGCCAGCTTTAACGGTCAGTATTGTTATTATATTTATTTTTAAGAAGATGGAAACTTTGACAAATCACAAATGCATATCTGCTTTAGATGGACATGCAAGCCAACAAAATTGATTAAATTAAAAAATGAAACTTTCATAATTTAAACTTTCTGTTTTTGAAGATCCAAGAAAACACTCTTGGCCAAAATCTAGGGGAAGCTACTGCCATTTTGTGCTGTACAAGGAGAACAAGGATACCATGGATGCCATTAATGTGCTATCAAAATTTTTGAGGTAAGACTATTTGGCTAACATGCAGTAATCTCCTGAATATTTCATGTTACTATGAATGTTATGATTCAAGAGTATGTGAGAGCAATAGAAGAGATTATTGTCATCTAATTTTTAGCCTTTGTAAAAAAAATTATTTAAAATATCAAATTTGAAAGTTTCAAGTTTTGAATGGATGGAAGAATGCAATAAAATAATCCCAGATTGTAATGTGAACATAATGCATTTTAAAATTGAATCAGTTCAATGGTCTATTCCTAGGGAAGCTTTCCTACTTCTCTCTGCTTCCCTTCATCTTTCCCCTCCAGAAATACCTGTTTACACTTCAGACTCTAATCAGTGTAATGCTAGTATTTGTATTTATATAGTTTGACAAAATATTATATGTGTAATGGCAATCCTGCTGTCCTCTGGTATCCCCAGCTGAATTAGCCGGAAGAAATTCCTATATAAACAGGCTGTAAAATGCAATGTGGAAAGAAACACGTTTTAAATTAACTTCTCTTACTTTCACATAATATGCATGCATGGTGTTCGGATAGGCATATTATTTGAAATTTGAAGGAGAAATTTCTGGATTTTTATGCACATTCTTCCACTGTGCGGATGTGTATAAAGAAATGCATCAAAGATCATATTTTGAAAGAGCAATTGTGCTATATGTGAATCTGTTTACATATAACAGTATCTGATAATTAAAAGAGGAAAGTTTTCCTATATTTTATATATTTACAGATGAGATTAGAAAATGTCATATATATTCTGCAGTGTCTGCAATAACTTTTTATGTTGTTTGAACAAAATATAACAAAAACGTTGAGTTTATTTTTTAGATCTGTTTTTGATATAATAGAGAAACCAATAATTCTTTCTAGTTATGCTGAAAATCAATTGTCCAATCTGTGTTAACATTAGTATGTGTGTATATATATATGTGTATATATGTGTATATATATATACATTATGTTTTTTACTGTTGCTTTTAAGAGTGAAGCCAAACATCTTTTCCTACATGGGAACTAAAGATAAAAGGGCTATAACAGTTCAAGAGATTGCTGTTCTTAGGTAAGTGAAAATATAGTGGAGCGTTGACATTTCTCACATGATAGCTTAACTGCCTTGCTAAAGGCTCTGAAGACTCTTGTTTCAGGAATACTCTTTACTATGCATGCTGTTTAAAAGCAGTATTTGTTCTTAACTTACACTCTGAGGCAGAAAGCAGTTTTGTGTGTAACACAAATGGCAGATTCAGCTCACTCAAACGTCAAGTGTCTTAATGAAGGCACATTGTACTCTTTTATTTGATGATGATTGCTAATATTTTCAGTGGTCTATTCTTGAGCTGCACGTGGGGCTTTGTTTGAAGCAGTGAGCCAAGTACACGTTCTCATGCCGCAGGACTCTCACGCAGCAGCAGCAAACAGAATGAAGTGATGAAAATTCACCCCCATTTCTTTCCTGATTTTTGTTTCTCCCTTCCTCCAGTTGGAATCCTATTTTCCTTTCTCACTGAACTCTCCGAGCAGCTCTGAAGAATGTTAAACACTGTCTTTGCTCATCTGTGAATATACTCTCATAAGTAGCCCATTGAAATAAAGCAAAATTATTTTGGCATACTCCAAGATAATTATGTTTCCTTGGCACTGCAAATTAGTGCTACATCAATGACAGAGTAATAGGTGCCCTGCAGTCAAGCTTTACAGTATCTGTTTAGCTGATTTGAATATTCTGTCTCCTTTACTTTTACAACTCCTTGAAAACCACACTTGTCAAGTGGAGGAGTTCTCAGATTTGAGAGGTTAGAACCAGCAATTTGATCAAGTCCTTGTAAAAGGAGGGCATTCTCCCAGGGGGTTGCACGTGCATATGTTTGCTCATGTAAAAAGAATTGCTAATTCATGTCAGAAGCCTCAAATTATCATTCCTGAAAGGCAAGTGTGCCAGTTGAGGATGATCAACCAAACTTGTGATCTAGCCATCTCTGTTGCTGTTCTGTAGTCTGTAACATCAAATGTAATGTAACATCCAAGAGCTTCAGTGCGTTGTAAGCAGTGACTGGGGGAAAAACTATCTATTCTGGTGTCTGTTCAATCCTGCTGGACTACTGACCCTTCCATATAGAACAGGGGAAAGATGGGGTAGAAGAGTAGAGGTCCTGGTATCAGCCCACTCTGAAACAAGTATGCTGGCCATGCTCATCCATGAGCTGGTCAATCCTGGTGTAAATTTTGCTCTAGAATGCAAAGGAAAAAAATATGTTTCCAAAACTGCTAGCAACAAAAACGAGAACTGCAGGAGTGACAAATAGATTTCGTATACCTTTATCTGCATTAAGCTTACACAGAGGCTAGTTACTTAGTTATGCATTTGAAACTGTGTTAACTTCAGTGCATTCAGGGTGTATGTACTCAAATAAAGCTGTGAAGAACCAGTGTACTTCAATATTACAATTCTTTTTTTTTTCTCTTGCGTGCATATTCTAACATAGCTATTAAAAACATACAATGTGAAAGATGTGAAAATATGCACAGTATACACTTTGTCTTGTATATATAAACCTTAAGAAATACCTATCTTTCCGTTTCCCTTTCAGATACTTGGCATTTTGAAGATAATGGTAGAAAAATGAGAAAGCTGAATCTGGTTACTTATTAAAGCATTTACTTCTTGTCTTCAAGTGCTGGTACTTCCATATTTGGTTAACTATCTGCTTTTCTAAGCATAGTCTGATCAGTGCTGCTCTGTTTCTTTTTAGGATCACTGCACAAAGACTTGCTCATTTGAATAAATGCTTGATGAATTTTAAATTAGGAAACTTCAGTTACAAGAACCACCCACTGAAATTAGGAGAACTGCAAGGGAACCATTTCACTGTTGTTCTCAGGTAATGTGTTAGTATGTATTTAAGCAGTTCTGTTAGTGTGTTTTCTTTCCTTCTTTTTCAAATCGTGGGATATCAGTGCATATAACCTTACAACAAAGAAGTAATTAGGAATTGGAAGGGGTCTTCTGAATTTAGTAATTGTTATATACATTGATGCTGAGCTTTAATACTGTGGGGATTAAAAAAGTACTATGAGATATTAAAAGCCTGTATACAACAGAATGATGTTTTAAAATATGTTGCTAGAAACATAACAGGAACTGATAACCAGATAGAGGAAGCAATGCAATCTCTCAGGGAAATTGGATTCATTAATTACTATGGAATGCAAAGATTTGGAACTACAGCCGTTCCCACATATCAGATTGGCAGGTACGTGTTGTTTTCATTCTGTCTTTCTGTTTGGGTTATTTTTTATTACTATTATTTTACTGTATCCTTATATAACTTCTAATTTATTTCTGGGAAAGTTTTTCTATCATATTGCCTGTGCCAGTTTTAAGTTTTGACTTGAGAAAGAAATAGTTCTTGAGGTTGTTCCAGCATATACCTTACATAACATTACTTCACGAATATTACGTAAATCCAAACATTAATACTGCTTTCTTTGGGTAAATTTATTACATAATTAAAATATATTTAAGTTCATTCTTAATAAACTTTGCCATTTGAATTTTAGAGCTATTCTGCAGAACAACTGGACTGAAGTAATGGATTTGATATTAAAACCACGACCAGGAGGTAAGGACTAAATATTTCAAGTATTTCTATCTGTTTGTCTCTCTCTTTTTTGAGAGTGTCTGGATTGTCTCTGTCATATCAGCATGCAAGTCAATTTACCAATACTTCTGAAAAACCAAAGGCTAACACTTCCAAAAGTGGTAATTTTTTCCTCTTTCCCCTATAAAACAATGCATTGCATTTAAATCTAGTAGCACCTAGTATAATTCATCAAAACCGTTTTATTTCCTAAATATACACCAAAATATGGTGGGAAGACTGGTGGCATGTGCTAACACTAATTATTCTAATTAAAATTATATTTTTTCAGTTATAACCAGAAAGTGATAAGAATGTTTTTTTTGGTATAGTTAGAATACTTCACATTCTCGTTCTAGCTGAGAAAGGATACTTAGTAAAATGCAGAGAAGAATGGGCAAAGACTAGGGATCCAGCAGCAGCCCTCAAGAAACTGCCTGTAAAAAGGTGTGTGGAAGGACAGCTTCTCCGTGGCCTCTCAAAGTATGGAATGAAGAACATAATCTCTGCATTTGGCATAGTGAGTGTAAAAGTCTTGCGGCATGTTTATTTAAATAAGCGTGCTGGGTTTGTCTTGATGGTTTTGTGATGCGTTTGAAATAGACTAACAGATGGTTAATAAGGGTGAGGGTAAGTGTAAATCTTTACATTTTTTCTGCCTGTTGGCTTGAAGTACTGTTACATGGTAACATGTGACATCTGTAATCAGTGTATGCATAACAAGCTCCCCACTACGTTACAGTTGGTAACCTGAGGATTGTGCAAAAATTCAGTATCCATTTTTTGTTGTCCTGCTTTAAAAGTGTGAATCAAACTCATATTGTGCTAACGAAACCACCTGGCGTTGAGATAATGGGCTCACTATCATTTTCAAGTACTGTAATCAAGACTGACAACTCTTCAGAGAAAATGCCTCTTCACCAGCAGGTTACTGGGACCTGTGTTATCATTCTGCCCCAACACCTGCAAAGTTTACTTAAGATACCAGGAGGCTGAGTATGAACTCAGTGTGTCATACCAGCCATCTGTTTGATAAGCTGTTTAATAAAAAAATAAAACTACTTTTTTGATATTATTATATTGGTATGTATTTTGGTATTATATAATCTAAGCACAGTTCTTGTGTGGATTTTAAATGTATAAAAATACAATTTCCTCATGTTCCCTTCATCCAAATTATGAGGTTGGAGAAGGTAATATTTCAAATATATATATATTTTTGGGGAGGATGTGATGGAGAGAAAATAATACTTCTCTTTCTCTTTCCTTTTTTCCGTATCTCCAGATACCAAGAAATAATCGTTTAATGTATATTCATAGCTACCAGAGTTATGTATGGAACAATATGGTGAGCAAAAGAATAGAAGACTATGGTCTTAAAGCTGTACCAGGAGATCTCATACTTAAAGGAGGTAAAGCTAGACTGACAAAAAGCTAGCGATGCTTTATAGTCCAAATTACAAAACAAATTCCAAGCATGCAGTGTCACATAAACACATCTTCTATTTTCTTTCTTTCAAGTCCATTGACTTTTGAATTATTGGCCATTTTTTATCAAATTTTGAAAGCAAGTGGAAGTCCTATATTACACTTAAGGGGGTGATCTGTTTGCTTGTCCAAATCAGTAGTTTGATGGGGTGGAGACTATGAGGGAATGCTTCCACTGAAGGAAAGAACAAGCACAGGCCTTGTTGATCTGCGGAGAACCATAGAAGAAAAGATGTTATGAATGCTTTAATCACACTATTTTTTTATCTACTTTTTTTTTTTTTGTAAGTGGAGACAGTACTCAGTCAAAACTTTCTTCATTCAGATTTTTCTGAAACTTCCCTGTGGTGAGGGGATCTGTAATATTTCCAGTTAGTGGGTTGTTCATCTAGCAGTCTTTATTTCATTTAGCTTTAAAAGTTATTGGAAACCTTGCTGTGATTCCACTATTACTGAGAGCCTTAAAGAATGCCTTTTTTTTCTTTTTTTTTTCTTTTTTTTTTTTTTACTGGTTACTTTTACTTTTCTCATTTGACTGTAGCCACAGCAGTTCATATTGAAGAAGATGATGTTGATAACTACACTATCCATGATGTAGTGATGCCGCTGCCTGGATTTGATGTAATTTATCCAAAGCATAAAAGTAAGTTGAATGTTAACCCACACAGTCACTCTGAAAATGCGCATCTTTTTCTAAGATCACGTAGATTCTTTGAGACCAGGTTTCAACCAGTTCTTCACCATCAAGTAGTCCAGCCAAGACACTGCAGCAACATGTCAGAAACCTTCCTCAAGGTCGTGCTCTGCTCCGAGGCAGACAACATCCACTGCTCTCCCTTTATTCATAGAGCTAATAATTTTATTATAGAAGGCAGAGATGTTGATTTACCATTAGCATATGCATGCTGCATGTTCTCAATCATGACCTTCTCCTCCCTGTGCTCAGAAAAGTGTTCCAAGAGGCGTTGCTCCTTGATTTTCCTAGGAACCAAAGTGTAGGGGATCTGTAGTTCCCTAGGTCATGCTTTTTGTTCTTTTCAAAGACAGGTGCAAGATTAGTCTTTTACTAATTTTACTAATGCGGTTACTCCACAGGGAACTCCCTTGATCTCCATGACATTTCAATGACAGAGAACAGCATTACAGTGACACGAGCCAGCTCTTGTTCATTCTTGTTAGTCAGGACTGAGGCAAAAGACTTAGCAGCCCACGTTTTCCTTGCATTCCTTTACTGCTGATGTTGCAATTAAGCTCTTCTTAATTGCTCTTGATGTCTGCTGCCAGTTTCAACTCTAGCTGCCTAACACTGTTCTTTGCCTGGACAACGCTTGTATGTTCTTCCTTTGTAACCTGTCCTGCGTCTGATTTTCTACATTCGAGAGCAGTCATGAATATCCTGTTTTGCCAAACCAGTGGCATTCCCTCCTGATACATTTCCTCGTTTTCCTGAGTAATGGGTGGAACTGTTCTTGGAAAAGGTTGTCCTTGAAGACCAGTCAACTCTTTTGAGATTCTTTGCCTGTCAGAACTAAGTTCCCCAAAATCCCATTTACCACTCGCTGCTGAAGTATTTTGGAAATAACAATCTGTTTGAGATAAGGTGTGGCACTGAACCACATTTCTTCAAAGATGGAAAAGAGAGGTGAAATTTTTAATATTTTAATATATTTATAATGTGATTTGCCCTTAGTAAGTTAAAAGTTATTCCTCCTGGAAACTTCCCAAATGGATGGAAGTAATGCTGGAAATTGTACTGCAAAATAAAGACATCAAACTGCATGTTAGTTGCAGTGCATCCTTGTATTTCCATTGCTAACCTTCTCCCCAGCATGTGGACATATACGGACACTTACTTAAGGTTACAAGAGCAGTGGCCCATCCTTTTGGCCATTCAGTTAGAGGTACTTAGCGCTCCCTATCAGCTAACTTCTTCAGAGGGCTTTAAAAATAAAACTAAAACTTATTTCAGTCTTTGCTGCTTTTTCAAAAAAAAGAATGGGTACTCTAGCCACCCTTTTTTTCCCTCCCCCCATATAGTTGAGATGGTCCTGTGTCACTAAGTGAAGTGTCAATAAAATGTTTCATATAAATTTTGTTTTCAGCTTATATTCAGCTTACTTTTGATAGGCAGGCGAGATTCTGGATTCCTTGGCTCTACTAATCAGGTTTTATAAGAAAACATTTTAAGTAATACAATTTGTGATACCTAATTTTAAACTTCTGTCTAGTATTTATTACACATGCTGAAGATCACTGGAAAACAAGGGAAAGGATGTTATATAAATCCAGTTTTGCTGAAATTGGCCATACTACCCAGTCTCTGCCTAAAGTTTTCCTTTCTTGCAGTTGGTGATGCCTACAAGGAAATGCTAGTAGCCGACAATCTTGATATCAACAATATGAGGCATAAGATTAGAGATTATTCACTTTCAGGAGCGTACAGAAAAATCATCATTCGACCTCAGAATGTCAACTGGTGAGTAGGAGGATGAAGGAAATTACACTTGAGTTGACAGCATAGAGCGTGGCTAAGAAAGAACCATTAGATGATGGTGCATACATGTAGACCAGAACAGAGGCAACAAGGAATCTTCGATCATCTTCCTCACATTTTTACACAGTTGAACTTGAGCCTTATTTTGTCACTGATCCTCTGGTTCTGTGAGATGCGTTAGTGTCGAGATGTTTGTCTGGTTGTTAATATTCCTTGCAATAAGGGCTTGCCCAAACACTTCACAGATAATTAATCATTCACGTTGAAACCACAGCAGATAGTACAGACCAGGTGTCTTGGCAATCTTACTATAAGAAAAATTGGCCTGCAATAACCTGCAAGTCAATCATTTGTATTACTTAAATATGTTAAATCACTATTATGAGGGATACAACCTAGTTGTAATATCAGAACTGAATATATATCGTTTAGAGAGAATACTGTACAAATCTGCAGAATGACCTGATTCTTTTTTACACAGAAAAGAATGTGGAGGATTTTGGAAGGAGACAAAATAATGAAATACATGCATTTTGTTCTAGTTACTGCTGATTTTTAGAGCTTATCTACTTTCCTAGCTATTTTTTAAGCATCCTTTTGAAAGTCAATGTCATTCTTTCTATAACTTCATAAAATTCTGATATTCCATGAAGGGGGGGAAGCTGAGTTACGTAAAGAAATTTCTCCCTAGTTCATTATTTTCTGATGATTTTAGACATCAGCTTTACCAGTTACTGCACCATAAAAGTACTTTCCTTAATTTTTATTGGAGAATCATTCCATCTCCAGGATATTTTTGTAGCTGCCAAATTTAAATAATAATAATAATAAAATCTTTTGTATATTATAAAGGGAGGTTGTTGCATATGATGATCCTAAAATCCCACTATTTAATACGGATTTGGATAAGCTGGAAGGAAAACCAGTACCAGTTCTCCCTACAGGTAAGTTAACATTTCTGCTGATGTTGGTAGAACAGATATTTGATCTTACTATTCTTTCCAATTGCAACATACTGTAAGCTGCTTTAAAGAGCTTACTGTTAGGTAATGATATAAAAAAGAAAGCACCCAAATTTAGGTGTCTGAATAAAGACTTTTATTCCTCCCCCCCGCCCCCCCCCCCAAAAAAAAACAAAAAAGTACAAGCAAATTCCTCCAGCAGTCTGTGTTGACTGTTGCATTTTCTTACCAGTCTTTGGAAAATGAGATATGAAAAATCTTGGAAAATGCCTATGAAATGTACACAGAGAAGGTAGAATTAAACCACAAAAAGGCTGCAGGCTTGAGCACTTTCAGAAGAGACCGTTCATATACTTAAGTCAACTGAAATTTTTTAAAATAACTTTGGGAACATGATCTGTTGACTCTCCTTCCCAGAAAATACAAGGTTGAAATGACTAGGAATCCAGTTTTGAAAGGATTTTTTTTTCTTTTAAAACAGAAAACAAAAATACCCTACTCGCACAAAATTGGTAACTCTGTATATTTGGATAAGTCTTTCTGTTGTATAGTCACTTCCTGATGAGAGATGATGTTAAATGGGAGTTATTTTATGAAATTTCAGTTTATTCCACACTGTATTACGGTATGGATTGTAAACTGGGTTTGGTTTTAGAGTTTGATGTCCACTTTTGATGTAATCCGGGATAAGCACTTTCTGTGGTCTTAACAGCCTGTTCTTGTCTGTATTTCCGGCCACCTCCGACACGACAGAGGGCAAATTCAGGGCGCTGAAGATGGAGTTCTCCCTCCCGCCATCCACGTATGCTACGATGGCCATTCGAGAAGTGCTGAAAATGGACACGAGCATAAAAAATCAGACACAGCTGAACACTACCTGGTTGCGCTGAATGTACTGTAGAAGGAGTTATCACCTATAAAGAGTTTTACTACTTAAACGTTCTGGACAAATCTTTAAAGAGCAGTAGCAGGAGATCTGTATTTTTTACAGTTTTTATTAGTGCAAGAAGCCGCGCTCGCTGCGCTGCGAGGCGGG